AGGCAGTTATCGAGGCAGATGGTTGGTATACGAAATATTAGAATGGAATCAATCTCCTTCCTAATTAGGTTTAGCTAATAGTAGGCGGTAAGGTAAGGTGGTCGAATACTTTTTGCATCCCACTGTAGGTATGGAGTAAGGTAAAATGGTATCATTGTTTCAATTTTTTTAAGGGTTTATCAGACTTGAGAAATCCTCCACCCTAGTTTCGTTCACCTTCTTTTCTCATATCTCGATAAGCAGATTAGCAGAAGATCACCTTCAAGTATCCCCGACAATAGCCGTCGCCAGTTTCGTAACAGATGTGGGGGAGAAGGTGTTGCATCGCGTCGCCGTCAATCAGTGGTGCTGGCGTAATCCCTGAAGCAATCCGCTGTCATCATTTTGTTAGCTATCGACCCATCCGGCCAGTGTCCCTCCTCCGCCCCTCCTTCCCCTCTTCTGCTTCTTCTCGCGGGGTTTCTTCTTTTTCTCGCTCTTATCTTCCTTCGTGCACATTTCTGCCTCGCCCAGTCACACTTGATCTTTCAAAATCTCTCGTAAGGCACTGTTCATCTGAGGTACGCGCAATGACAATGACGGATAGAGACACACTTCCTGATGCGTAAGTTTTCAGGCCATTGGCACCTGGCTTCTTCAACATTCATGGACAGAAGTTGACGAAGTAACAGAGTCAAACCAGTGCATTACCATGTGTCTTTATTCGATCTCGAGCTTGGTGGTGCTTGGGGTTATAAGGGTATTGTTAAGATAGATTCCACCATCACCCGGCCCACCAAGGAAGTTGTGCTTAATTGCAAGGAGATCGAGGTCCATAATGCAGAGATCTTGGGGAAAGATGGTTAGTCCAAGAAGCAAAAGCAACATCTAATTAATGCGCTGCTATGGAATCCACTGACAGTGAATGTCATAACTCTTACTTTAGGCACGAAATTCACGAAAGCATCCAAAATCACGTATGACAAGAAGTCAGAACGAGTGTCCTTTATGTTCTCTCAAGAGATCACGCCTTCAGACATTGTGCTATCTATTGACTTCACCGGCACGATGAACAATGCTATGGCTGGTTTCTACCGCTCAAAGTACAAGCCTGCCGTGCAGCCGACGGCTGATACACCCAAAGAAGGTGACTTCTACTACATGCTCAGTACTCAATTCGAGTCCTGTGACGCACGAAGAGCCTTTCCTTGCTTCGATGAGCCGAATCTTAAGTCAACTTTCGATTTTGAGATCGAGGTTCCCAAAGGCCAAACTGCCTTAAGCAATATGCCGATCAAGTCAGAACGAGACGGTAGTAAGCCTGGCCTCAAGTTTGTGTCATTTGAAAGGACCCCAGTCATGAGTACCTATGTCAGTACAAGTACCTTCATCATTACCTGCTAAGAGAAAGGCTAACTAGCCACAATCTCCGTCCAGCTTTTGGCATGGGCTGTTGGTGACTTCGAGTACGTTGAGGCTATGACTCAACGCAAATACAACGGAAAGAGTATACCAGTCCGTGTCTACACTACGAAAGGGCTCAAAGAACAGGCACGTTTTGCCTTAGAATGTGCTCATCGCACCGTCGATTATTTCTCGGAAGTCTTCGAAATTGAGTATCCCTTGCCCAAGGCCGATCTTCTTGCCGTCCATGAGTTTGTAAGTGGTACAAAATTGTGTCTTGAAGGTTCGGCTTTCACTGATCATATCGCCTCAGGCCATGGGTGCCATGGAGAACTGGGGTCTTGTCACATATCGTACGACCGCAGTTCTATTCGATGAGGGAAAGTCCGACACCCGCTATAAGAACCGCATTGCATACGTCGTGGCTCATGGTGAGTTTCATAGTTTGAGGCACAATGACTGCGTCTGGCTGTTTTCTGAGAATGAATCGCAGAATTGGCCCACCAATGGTTTGGCAATCTTGTGACTATGGACTGGTGGAACGAGCTTTGGCTGAACGAAGGCTTTGCAACTTGGGTTGGCTGGCTGGCAGTTGATCATTTTTATCCCGGTAAGAGAGTATCCCTTGCTTCTGTCTCGATATGTACTGCGACTTCATTCAGCTAATTTCACGAACCAGAATGGAACATTTGGTCTCAGTTTGTCGTGCGCAATTCCCGAGGTAACGATATAATTGTCCGTCTGTTGTTAACTGGTCGCGTAGGCTGAAGGGGTGCAACAAGCGTTTCAGCTCGATTCCTTGCGTGCATCTCACCCGATTGAAGTTCCCGTAAGGAACGCTCTGGAAGTAGATCAGATTTTTGACCATATCAGCTATCTGAAAGGAAGCTCGGTGATTCGTATGCTGAGCGATCATCTTGGTCGGCAAACTTTTCTCCGTGGTGTGGCCGACTACTTGAAGAAGCATGCGTACGGTAAGCTAGGCTTGAGGGGTTCGTCTGCGGAAAATCGCTGCTGAGAACGATGTCAGGTAATGCTACCACAAATGATCTCTGGTCTGCCCTCAGTCAAGCTTCCAACCAGGACGTTCATAAATTCATGGTGGGTCATATCTTGATCGCTTCACCTCCTGGGTCTTTCTAACTCTTCTTCAAAAGGACCCGTGGATCCGAAAGATTGGTTTTCCAGTCCTCACCGTGGCAGAAGAGGCAGACCAAATTAGCATCCGCCAGAACCGATTCCTTTCGACAGGGGACGCAAAGCCTGAAGAGGACGAGACGACATGGTGGATCCCGCTAGGCATCAAATCAGGACCCCAGCTGGCCGACTTGAATTCACGCGCTCTTGTCTCGAAATCCGACACTGTTGCGGGCGTCGGTCAAGATTCATTCTACAAAATCAACAAGGATTTGTCAGGCTTCTACCGCACGAACTACCCTGCCGACCGTCTAGCGAAGCTGGGCCAATCTTTGAACTTGTTAAGTACCGAAGATAAGATTGGCCTGATCGGTGATGCTGCTGCTCTCGCTATGTCCGGAGAGGGCACTACCGCTGCGTTATTAACTCTTCTGGAAGGGTTCAAGGGCGAGGAAAACTACTTGTTAGTGCCGAAAACTCCTATTAGAGCTTTCGAACTGGTACTCACTCTATTCATTCCAGGGTTTGGTCACAGATCTCATCGTCTGTCGCAAATCTGCGCTCTGTTTTTTCGCAGAATGACTCAGTAGCTGCGGGATTGAAGAAATTCACACTCGCATTGGCATCTCCCGCCGCCGAAAAAATAGGTTGGGAATTTAAGTCCGACGAAGATTATCTCACTGTGCAGCTTCGTAAGCTTCTAATCGGCATGGCTGGCTTTGCGGGCCATGAAAGGTGGTTCCATATCTTGGCAGCTTGTGAGGGAAATGAAGTTCGGCTCACTGTTTTCTAGCATCGTCACTGACGCGAAACGGCGCTTCGATCTTTGGGCTTCAGGCAAGGACAAGAGTGCAGTACACACGAACTTGCGCTCCGCAATCTTTGGCATCGCGATTGCTGAAGGTGGACGCGACAAATATGATTCCGTAAAGGAAGAGTACATTAAGACCGACTCGGTCGATGGCAAGGAAATTTGTCTCGCCGCGCTTGGACGTGCCAAAGATGCTGATCTCGTCTACGACTATCTGGACTTTGTTTTCTCTGACAAAGTGGCGATCCAGGATGTTCACAACGGTGCCGTATCTTTGGCTGCTAATTCGAATGTCCGCCATCTTCTGTGGGAGTACATGAAGAAAAATTGGGACGACGTTGAAGCCCGACTTTCGGCGAACAACGTCGTCTTCGAGCGCTTTGTGCGAATGGGTCTGTCAAAATTCGCAGATCATAACATTGGGGCGGATATCGCTTCCTTCTTCCAGAACAAGGATACAAGTCCTTATGACCGCGCCTTGGTGATTGTTGCTGACTCCATTCGGACAAATGCAAATTACAAAGAAAGGGACGAAAGATTGGTCTTGGAGTGGCTTCAAACTCATGGCTATGCCTGATCGCTGCAAACAAGCTGCTAAGAGGCTTGACTGATAGTCGAGTTGTACTGCAATGTTGGGTCCCAAATTTCCCGGTCATATTGGGCATTCCCACTTATTTTCTGGGACAGATGTCAGTTGTGACTGGCCGTGTCGAGGGCTACATAGACCTATTTTATGTAGAAAATTTTCAGATTGTGGCACAGCAAAAAGTAATTACTTTTCGAAAGACAATGTCTGCACAGTATTAGATAGCACTAGTGATGGCTTGATCTTTCCTTCTACTGAAACTCCGCAAAAATGACACACAGCGGCATGTATAACACTGATCTCCCCTGGTCATGAGAAAGCATCTACCTTACAGATGTGGTGTGAGGAGGCAGGCCACTGAGCCGGAGCCTCTGCGTCGGAGACCTTGTCAATTTATCTTACATCATGGCAAAATGCTCGCTTTCAAGTATTCTACTATTGAAAGGGATACTGCGTAGTAACGAAGATCGAGGGAGTCCTTGAAGATATGGGGTGTCAGGTGAAGGCATGAGGCCTCCCACAGGCTAACAGCTGACCACTACCTATCATTCATCATCGTCATGCTCGTTCTTGTCTTCATCATTCTTGTATTTTATTACTCACTGGGACTAATAATCGTACTTAATTCAGTTCTCATAGCCATTTTGGCTAGGTAGTCTTCTTGGTAGACATCAGATCTGATTGGTACTCATGAGGTGTGTAGGTGTTCAAACACTAGGCTAGATTGGGGTTGAGTTATGGGTCTGAGGCGGTTGAACGTGAAACGGTCACAGACGGTCAGAACGAAAACATGGGTAACTTGCACGCTGTGCTCGCCTGCTCTCCTGCACTACTGCTCACTACCTATCTATCCACTAGCAACGTAACTACCATCTCAGAACGCCGCTTCAGTTCATCTAAGTACCTAGGTAATCCGAGGCCACACTTACATCAACACCTAGCCACCTACCTTTGATATAGCTGTCTCATCTTCATTCTGCCTTTCCCTTCATTTCATTCTCACTCCTCACCCCCTTCAAAGCAACCTAGTGCTCGTTGACAGATACCATCCTCACCGTTCATCATGAATCCTGAGTGGTAAGTCCCCCTTTCTACCTACAGCACAGGAGAGTTAGATCTCGCTCTCTTCGCGCAGTGAGAAAATGTCTTTCTCCTTTATCTCTCTTGGCTATGTTGACTGACTGCTGGGTTTGACTAGAGTGCCTGATATCCCCACCTCTCCTGTCTAGTCGTTCATCGTCTCCGCAAATGAAAGGACAACTCCAACTCACTTGAATCTATGAAATAGATACGACTATCTCTTCAAACTCCTTCTCATCGGAGACTCTGGCGTTGGAAAGTCTTGCTTGTTGCTTCGATTCGCCGATGATACGTACACAGAAAGCTACATCTCCACCATCGGCGTCGATTTCGTATGTACTCGTCGCAAAAGGCATACTGTTGAGCACAAAGACCTTTGCAGTACTGATATGATGTTCCAGAAAATTAGGACTATTGAACTCGATGGGAAGACGGTGAAGCTCCAGATTGTAAGGACAAAGCATCGAAAATGAGCTCTTGACCGCCTGTCATAGCTGACAGACGACATATAGTGGGACACAGCAGGTCAAGAACGTTTCCGAACCATCACGTCGTCTTATTACCGGGGCGCACATGGCATCTGTGTTGTTTACGACGTGACCGACATGGACTCCTTCAACAACGTGAAGCAGTGGCTTCAGGAAATTGATCGCTATGCCACAGAAGGGGTCAACAAGCTGCTTGTGGGTAACAAGAGCGATATGGAAGACAAGAAAGTCGTGGAGTACACCGTAGCCAAGGTTCGCATTCAACCACGCCTCAGTCTGTCTAGCTTACGTCCTAACATGACTTGTGATTCACCTGTTTAGGAATTCGCCGATAGTCTTGGAATTCCTTTCCTTGAAACCTCAGCGAAGAACGCTTCCAATGTTGAGCAGGCTTTCTTGACCATGGCTCGGCAGATCAAAGAGCGCATGGGGACTGCCACTGTTAACAACAAGCCGACTGTGCAGGTCGGTCAGGGTCAGGGTGTTCAATCTGGATCCGCAGGCGGTTGCTGCTAAGGGAGTCATGGTATCCACGTGCTGTACTATGTTCAAGTGTGTTTGTAACTTCTGAGCGACGGAAAGGGTATCTCAGCCCAGCTCCCGGTTATGGATTGCCTTTACACCGGGAATCGTTCAGATAGTCTTCTGGGTTTCCTCATCCGCCTTTCCTTCTCTGTTAGTTTGAGATGACTGTTTGGAACTGCTTCAAGATTCTTCCATGCCTTTAGACTGTCCCGCAAATTATTCCTGCACGCTGTTTCCGCCGGTGTTCTATCTTCTCAATGCTCGCCTGTCCGCCCCTTTCATGATTTCTCCTTGGTTTTCTTTCTTATCCTCCTCTTTCCGCGGCACCTTTCTTTTTATTCTCTCCTTTTTCCTGGGGTTGGACTCCTTCTTAATGTTTGTCGAGTTAATTGTAAAGAAAGTCAATCCATCTTCGGGGAGGTTAATCGTCAGGCGAAAGTATATCAGCTTGCCTATCCTAAACATTACGTTCACAACTATCAGCCTTTTACTGGAATTCGGTTTTTTTTCTGTCAGTAGCAGAAGTCTGCCTCTAGGGCTTCTTTCACAATATGTTAGGCTGGAGCAGTCAGGACCACGGGAAGGCAGATCGAAGATGAGCAGACCAGGAACTGTGGTTATCTGAAATACAGGCAACACAGTTGTAGAATCTCTCAAACATGAACGTGACAATCATTTCCAAGCAATATCCCCACGAGATAACACCTTGGGACACTGTTAACCAGCCACCCCTGACTTACAATTTAAGCAAATATGTCACTTTTGGTCACAGAGAAATAGTACAACACCATCTCCAGTGCTTTTATATAATATTTCTAATAATGGTGAATTTGTGTTCATCATAATTCACATTAATAATAGTATAAATTGCCATCACATGCAAATGAGGGAAATTCTGAGGGCACTTGGAGACATAGAACGTTTCTAACCTCTTAGCGTAACACCATGAGCAAGCATACGAGGTTACTGAGTTAGCTGGCCTGCTATGGACCTCGGTCTCTTGCTGAGACCTCGCCTTATTCATATTACGAGAGACTTGAAAAATAATCCTTCACCTCCGTATACTGAGCTGGAAAGGTATCCTGTCGCACTGACACGCTCCGTAGTAGTCCCTACAAGAGGGCGTATAGATAGGACATACTTTGGTGCTACCTTTAAGGACTGGCCAAAACAAGCCCAAAGACAAATGCGAGTCAAAAATGATATATTTCTGAAAAGGACAAGTTGTTGCAATCATAAATCATAATGATATTTGCGACCGCCATAACTTCGGACAACGGAAGGGGTCAATCGACAGCCGAGGCTCAGATGGAATTCGGTAAACGTCATGAAAGTTATCGTCATGATTTACCCATTTCAAGCCGAACCATTCTCGCGCGCCCTGATGAGTCTACTCATTAATATTACTCCTAGTTGATCCCCATTCTATCATTCCTTTTTCTCCTTACCCTTATTACGGAGCGTCCTGTCATCCATCTCATCCCGCTTCTGGAGGCCCACCTTGTGTATGATCTCAATCCGCTCCTTCAGCATTCTCTGAGGTTGTTAGCATCGAACTATAACCCTGGTTACTTGTTAGGTATCCGTCCTTGAACCGAACGCTCTTTCGTATACAGATACACTTGAACTTCTCAACCAGGACACCTCTTACGTGATTATCTTCTGTTCGCCATGTCCCAGTCTAGAATCCAAGAGCAGAAAAGGGCGGTTGCAGCGTCGGCTGCCGCTCAACAAAGTGACAACATAGCACATGCATTGGCTGGCGCTGGCGGTGGCATTCTTTCAATGGTCTTGACGTGCGCAAATTCGAATTCCCATTATTGGAGCAATAGTTAACGATCATTTGCTGGTAGCTATCCTCTCATTACACTTTCAACAAGAGCCCAAGTCGAATCGAAACGTGCCCATTCTACAACCATGGACGCCGTTCGCCGCATTGTTCAGCGTGAGGGTTTCAGTGGACTGTACTCTGGACTTGAATCGGCACTGTTCGGCATAAGCGTCACTAATTTCGTATACTATTACTGGTTCGAATGGACTCGTGCGGCCTTCGAGAAGGCAGCCGTGAAAGCTGGTCGTGCATCCAAGAAACTTACCACGGTTGAGTCGATGATCGCTGGCGCTATCGCCGGAAGTGCAACCGTTCTGATCACCAATCCCATTTGGGTCGTGAACACAAGAATGACAGCTCGTAAGTCGGATGCGGAGGATCAGGCATTGCCTGGTGCACCTGAGAAGAAGGCGCGGGCTTCGACCATTGGCACCTTGATGGATCTACTTCGACGGGAAGGGCCTACGGCTCTTTTTGCCGGGGTCCTCCCAGCACTCGTTCTAGTGATCAACCCTATACTGCAATATACCATCTTTGAACAGTTGAAGAATATAGTGGAGCGCCGTAGGCGCATGACGCCCAAGGATGCGTTCTATCTGGGCGCTTTGGGCAAGATACTGGCCACCTCGATCACATATCCTTACATCACAGTCAAGAGCCAGATGCACGTTGCAAGCAAAGATGGTCCCAAGGAGAGTTTGAACGGAAGCTTGAAGAGAATTATCAGGGAGGAAGGATACACAGGCCTGTACAAAGGTAAGCTGAATATGCGTATGCCGGGCAGACAATGCAAACTAATCGCGGCTACGCAGGAATTGTTCCAAAAGTGACGCAGAGTGCGATTACCGCAGCTTTTCTGTTTGCTTTCAAGGATGTCTTGTATGATATGATGGTATCGGCTCGGAAGAGATCTCGACTATCTAAATAGATGGCATCTTCCTTCCCGAGCAGACTTCTTTGTCGACTTGCGCTGGAAGTCGGGCATTACGGACTAGCGCTATTGAGTAGAGCTTTGAGAATTGTCCTATAATTCCTGCTCTCGCACACCATCCGTCATTTCCGCCTCAATCCGGCTTGAACTTAGCTCGCATTGTGGCTATCTGAAAGCTGGATATTCCGCATGATTGACTGAACGGGGGTCATGCGCTATTGCCTTGATGATCGCGAGGCAGAAAGCTGTTTGGTGACTTCGGAATAATGCTCTCTGAGGCTCTTCTTTATTCCGTGAATCATTCATTAATGTGTTTTCCATGTATACAAATAGAATGTAAATCAGTCTTTATGGCGAGTTTTCACACATCTTCTCTGGGCTATGGTAGGACTTCTGGACCGAGCTGAAAATAGAAGCGAAAGAGAAATGAAGTCAGCTATATGGCCGCATAGACGTATAAACATGCTGGCCGACGAAGTTGAGCCGCTTGCAAGGTTTGTTTTCTGTCTGCAAGGTGTCCAGCCTCGAGTTGCAGCCAGGATTGTACTTTTCGCGTGCTCAGTCCATAAGTCTTCACAGTGCACATCTTTATCGCTTACAAGTCACATGCTCTGGTCCATTCGGTTCCGGAGCTGATTATTATTACTCCGGATTCTGCTTAATGACTTGGGACATCAACATGCTGACCGCCTGCCATATCTTGCTATAAAGTGCTTTTCAAGTGCCGGCATAAAAAGACACGAATCTTCCTTGTCTAGATTTGGTTCCGCGTTCACGCGTCACTCTAATAATAATAGGTATCTTCTCATATTTACAACACCTCCAGTGCTTTAAAGCTCTCCTTCTTACCCTGTCTTTTCTCATCTACCAGTCAACTTACTCAAAAGCTAAAAGCTCAAGGTCTACGACCTGGCATCTTTCACCCAGAACATCAAAATCTAGACTCGCTATGTGAGTTAGGTGACACTCTTGCCAATGTCACAAGTATACGTTTCTTTTGATGGGCTTTGTGGCCTGCGCTCATGAATGTGAGCTTAAATACTGTTTCTATACCCTGTTTCAACATGTATTGACGAGGCACAGGTCAATTGCTGCTATAACAACACAAAGGCCTGGACGCTTTCATCATCAACACAGAACAGAGCCTTTACCACCCTGTCATTCTCATTGTTCCGTGAGTATATCTTCTTAGGCATCTTCTTCTGATCCTTTATTCACCTTCCCCTTGCAGCCTTGAATTGCAGTTCTTCTCTCGCTGTATGGGACTCTGACATCTATTTGTATAGGCAATTCCTTCATATCCAAATATCCAATCTACTGGAAAACAGAGGACGCTAGAATCTCTTCCAAGCCAGCCTCAATGCTACATCACGCAGTACCCCAGAAAATAGCAGGGATGATGAATCTCTGCACGTCAACTCATCAACAGCTTGATTCAGATGATCCTGCACTGATTGAAGAGCACCAGTTACTGCTATCAAAATTCATGGAACATTCCTCTAGGGGCACCAAGAAAACTGAGCGAGTGTCTTACAATAACTTCGACACAGTTTTTCACACTCAGACATCTTTGCATAGCGCCTCTAACACCATAAATGATGGTTTCAACCCAGTCAAAACTCGAGAAACCAGCTATCCCGCCCCCGGCCAGTGCACAGTTGAACATTCCTCCCCTACATCGTCGGTCGAACGAGATTCATCATCTCCAACTACATCTTCGACCAGGTCTCCTGCGCCAAGGACGCGACGTTCTGCTCGCTCGAGAAACAAGCAAATAAATTATTATCCCGTGATCAATCTCTCTCAGTCCGATTCGGAAGAGGGGCCTTCAGACGGTAGAAACACAAAATCGGCCAACACCGGCTCACAAGCACGCAATCGTCAGAATCATAATACTTCCAATCAATCATCTCGGCCCCTTCGTGACCTGAACTCGAATACTGATCCTCTTTCTCAAGCTGAAAAACGTATCATCTATTCTTCGCGAGGTGTGCAGATTTACCAGTCGAACTTCAGATCGCTTGATGACTTCAAAGATCTTAAACATGCATGCTTCTGCTCAGAACGCAATCCCGTCAAATATGCCAGGAGATACAGGGAGTCCATGACAACATCAAGTGAAATTTTGCATGTTGATTTTGACTCGCGTGAGATGACAGCTATGTTGGATTTACTATCATTACACGGGTGGCAGTATTCATCAATCCCAGAAGTCTCGATCAGTGATCA